CTATTAACTCATTTTGAGCCTATGATTCTTGTGGGTAGCGCTATTTGGTTGTCATACCCACCCTATTGACTAACGAGTAGGGGTGCACTTGGTCATTAAAGTATGCTCTACACATGTGACTCGAAGTAGTCACCGCTGAGGTAGTTCGTAAGAATGCTCTATCCATGTGGTTCGCTACCACCTCTAAGGTAGTTTGTGGGGCGTTGAAAGTTGTTTAGGTTTAGTAGTGGCTCAACAATTTATACCATGTGTATGACGTTGCTTTTAAGATATTGCTCATAAACTTATAACTGGGATTTGCTGCATTTGAAATCATTTTATGCATATAAAACCTGTGTACTCACCAACTCTTTATAGTTGACTCGTTTTTGTTACATGTTTTTCAGGTGGTAAGTAAGATTTGTCTCAAGTGGGAGCATACTCGTGTCAAAGCTGATTTAGTTAGAATCGGAAGTTTTTGCAATTGAAGAGTTTTATAAGATTTTGGTTGTAAAATTTAACTCGCTTTATTATGTAAAATTTAAGGTTGTTATCTATTAATCGTCGCTGTGACACGCTTGCCTGTTGCACCTCGCGTTTTCGCTTTAGCGGGGTGTGACAAGTTACTACCATGTATTCAGGAAGAATTACGAGAATTTCAACATAAGGCCATGAAGGAAGATAAGATTAAACATGAAAGATTGGGTGGATTAATATCTGAATTTGTGGAAAATGGCAGAGAATTCTGGGAATTTCAAAACAGAATTTGGGTACCAAATTATGGTGGTCTTAGTAAACGTATTTTGAGTAAGACTCAGAAATCACGTTTTGCAATTCACCCAGGTACGAATAAAATGTATCAAGATTTGAAGCAACACTATTGGTGGCCAGGTATGAAGAAGGATATAGCTAAACACGTTGAACAATGCCTGACATGTCTCCAGGTGAAGATAGAACACCAACGTCCTTATGGTAAGTTGCAATCCTTAGAAATTCTAGTTTGGAAATGGGATCACATCACTTTGGATTTCATAACCAAAATGCCGAGGACATCAAAAGGTTATGATGCTATATGGGTAATAGTAGATCGGTTATCCAAGTCTGCACATTTCTTACCGATGAAAGAATCATATTCAATGGAGAGATTGGCAAAAATGTACATTGATGAGATAGTAACACGTCATGGTGTTCCTCTATCAATTGTTTCTGATAGAGATAGTCGATTCACTTCTATGTTTTGGAAGAGCTTCCAAAGAGAGATGGGTTCACAGATTAAGCTAAGTACAGCTTATCACCCTCAAACAGATGGACAAAGTGAACGARCTATCCAAACATTAGAAGATATGCTTAGAGCATGTGTAATTGATTTTGGAGGATCATGGGATAGTTATTTGGCTCTGGTGGAATCATACAACAATAGTTATCATTCAAGTATTCAAGCTGCACCTTTTGAAGTTTTGTATGGACGAAAATGTCTAACTCCTTTGTGTTTGAATGAAATAGGTGAAAAACAGTTAGGTGGGTGTGAATTAGTTCAGCAAACCGCAGATAAAATTGGCATAATACGGGAACGAATGAAAGCGACACAAGATAGAGAAAGAAGTTATGTAGAGAAACGTCGGAAGCCGATTGAATTCCAAGAAGGTGATAGAGTGATGTTAAAAGTATCGCCATGGAAAGGAATGGTACGTTTTGGTAAGAAAGGGAAGTTAAGTCCGAGGTATATTGGACCATTCCCTATTATAGGAAAAGTTGGAGAAGTGGTGTACAAGCTAGAACTTCCTTTAGAGCTAAGTGGAATTCATGACACTTTTCATGTGTCTAATTTAAGGAAGTGTCTAGTAAGTCCAGATGCAGCGGTGCCTCTACCTGAAATTAAAAATGATGAAAAATTGTGCTTTGAAGAAACCCCTGAACTTATTACTGACTTCAAAGTAAAGAAGTTGCGGAATAAAGAGGTTGGTTTAGTAAAGGTTCAGTGGCGTTATC